GCATGCTCTCATGACTTGAGTTTAGAAAAACTTTAAAATATTACTTAAAATATAATTGACCAGAGATTTGCAGATAAGCTCTTGGCTAAAAGAGAAGCAACAAGAGAAAAAGAGTTTCTGATGATCATAGCCGGGAATCGTATGTTTGATTTGATAATTAGCATCAATATCCATGGACGTGACAGAAACATTAATCTATCTATAAACCGTAAAGGTAAACTACCTAGCCTACGTACTTCAGATCCAATACCCTATACAACTCCCGTCTCTAGTGTCTCTCACTGCAACGGTTTATTGGCACATCTACGCGACGACTCGACTTTTGTGGTTTGGAACCCGTTGTGGGGGAAAACAAGATGGATCCACCACAGCAATTCTTGCTTTACCTTCCAAAGTTTTGCTTTAGGATACGACAGATCCTGCGGTAGCCACAAAATCTTGAGGATTTTTTATGATGATAAACTCGAAATCTACGATCTGAGCAGCTCTAACTCGTGGAGACTTCTTAATGCAACTCTAGACAAGAATATAGAGTTTTATCATTCTAGTGTGCCTGTGAAAGGAAATACTTACAGGTTTGCTAGAGATAAGGAGGAACACGGATATTTTTTCCTACTATGTTTTGATTTTACAAGAGAGAGATTTGGACCGCGTCTACCTCTGCCCTTTAACTCTAAGGATAAATTTGATGTGTCTCTATCTTCGGTTAAAGAAGAGCGGCTTGCAGTGTTGTTTAGAGGTGATATTTGGATTACGAATAAGGTTGAGCCTGATCAAGTGTCGTGGAGCAAATTCTTAAAATATGAAATGGCGCAACTCCCTAAGTATTTAGAGTTTGAGAGTTTCTTGATCGACGAGGAGAAGAATGCCGCTGTGTTTTTTTATCAAGGCGACGACGGATCTTACAAAAAAGCCTACCTCTTTGGAAAGGGTGGTTCTGTCATGCGTACCAGAAAATATCCATACTCAAGAACTTGCACATTAATGTTCTCTTTTGTTCCAAGTTCTGTGCAGATCAAGTAAAAGTACTAGATCATGGATTAGTCAATTTACATTTATTTCTTTAAACAAGATTCTTTCAATAAAATACCAAGTTTTTTCTAATCTCTTCTATGCAATACGATCGAGAACTATGTCTCTATGTTATTTAAATTTCACAAAACAGAGAGCGGTTCCTCTGTTTTCTTTTACTTTTGTTCATCCCAGCTCTGAAAACAGTATTCATTGGTTTCAT